CATTGCACTTTTTTGTTTTTGGAGATTTCTAGCATATGATGATGATAAACTTTAAAGACATTGTAACTTTGAATTAAAACCTTGTTAAGGCACTTAAAAAGAGATCAATAAAACAGTCATGGGAAATCAATCACAGGCATGAGGAAAATAATGGTGATTTTTATCATGCTGATTTTTATCATTATAAGTAAAAATATGTACCTGAATTATTTACACAATAATGGGTTTAGAAGTTTGGGTTAAAATCAGTTTGTTTTTAAAATTTGACCACTTTACTTTGGCCGAAGACAAGACGTTTTTCTCACCTCAAGTACTTCATAGCATATAGACCCTAAATTGTTTTATGTAAACAATTCTGGCAAAGTAACATATTCCTGTATACATGCTTATGAAGGGCGCAAACTTATCACCTCTTCAAATAGAATGCTGCCTATTTTCCTACTCATTTCCAGTCCTCATCCTCAGGGAACAAGATCATTTATAGCATGCACATTTTTCAGCTCACTCATTCAACAAATACTTATTGATCCTATACTATATAACAGACACTGTTCTGAAAGTAGACAAATTGTAGTAAGACAAATAGACCTAGGCATATTTATCACAAACAGGTAAACAAACAAATAAGAAAATTCAGATAGAGATAAGCACTATGAGAAAAACAGAATAAGGCAATCCGGCATTGGCTGGCATTGGGGGATGCAGGGCAACATTAGCTGGGGGGGGGGGGGGGCTAGAATAATCTGAGCCCATGACCCAATGAGGCGGTAGAAGGAGAGGAGTCTGAGAGGCAGTCAAGGACAAGACCATAAAGGGTTTGGGTTTCATTCCAAGAGCTATGGAAAGCCACTAAAGAGTCTTAAGACATGACATAAACTGATTATTTTTGTTTTAAAATAATTACTATGGCTCCTGTAAGATGAACGGCTGACAAAAATAAAAGCATGGAGATTAGTTAGGAGGCTACTACAGGTGAGCAGTGACAGTGGCTTGTACAAGAGGCGTAGAGGTGGCCCTGATGTGTGTTGCTTAGTTGGCTGGGCGTCATCCCACAAAGCAAAGCCGAAAGGTTGCCAGTTCGATTCCTGGTCAGGGCACATGCCTGGGTTGCAGGTTTGGTCCCTCGTTGAGGTGCCTATGAGAAGCAACCAATTGATGTTTCTCTCCATCTCTTTCTCCCCCTCCCCTGTCTCTAAAAAGTAAACAAATAAATTTTTTTAAAACAAAAGAGGGGTAGAGGTGGAGATGTAGAGACTTAACACATATTTTGGAAACAGAGTCAAAAGAACTTGCTGGTGTCTTAAGAGGGGAACACTTGTAAGGAATGGTGACAGAAAGGAAGCAATCCAGGTGGGAAACCTTGGGGGAAGGGCCTCACAAGTCTAATAATAAATCTCCCACCCACTAATCCATCAAATCAACGTAACACCAACTGTGCACCAAAGGTAATACGTTTCTTTTCTCACCAGATAGCATTGCGACTTGATAGAATTTTATGTTGTAGCTTCATCTCAATTTTAAATGAAAAATGTAATTATTCAAAATTTTAGATTAATATATCTAATTACTTTGTGCTTCTGCAAAAAGAATTTAAACCATAGTGGCCAGCACTGTTCAGCATCTGTATTTTATAGTCGTGTGGGAACCAACTTTCCCCGCCTCGGGCTCAGCCAGAAGCAGGGTTCTCAGGCCTGTCTCCATACCCTCAGCCACAGGTTTCCAAAGGACTTCAGTCTGCATTATATGAGTTAGTGAATTCGTGAGCATGCTTCTCTCACCTACTTGGCTATGGATTCCAACCAAAGGGGACCAATTCTTAATTCTTGGTGGCCCCAAACAACAACCAACTCAGGCCATTACTAGGTGAAAACCCAGCAAGATAGGAACATCCCTAACATCTTTTTACTTTATAGACTTCATAATTTTGTGCCTGACACCTCTGGAGATAATTTTAATAGCTTTAACATGCAGTTCATACAACATACAATTCACCCATGCAAAGTGTACAGATTAGCAATGAAAACCTATGTTGCAGTCAAATTGGTCTCCTTGCCCCCTCCAACAATGTGCTTTTTCAGCATTGCATTTACATTAAATATTTGTTAAACAATTATTGAGTACTTACTATATGCCAAGCATTCCCCTCTGGAAAGTTGGCTCACTTCTACAGCCTAACCCCTAGTTCAAGACCTGGCTCGACTATGTAGGTCACCCCTGTTCTTGAACTCTTCCCTTCTCTTGATGTCTATAGTTGTTGGTTCTTATCCATTTGGCATTAAGCATCAGCCATCTAGTTACATTGCTGGTTGACTTTCGCATGTGCTCAAAGTGTCTTTGTATAACATAGCACTCTGGCTCAATACCTCATACATACTATGCATTCAGTGTAAATTGTGTAGAGGGCAATAAAACCTGGTCCTTGGAGTAGCTGCCCTTGAATAATCCTCTTCTTTCTTAGTCCATCAGCATGGAGTCATCAGACCTGCAAGTTTTAAAGGATCTTGCTGACACCTGAATTGTACTACAGATTCTGTGACAAGCTCATGTTGCTAGAACCCGAGTTCCCTGCCAGGGGCTGGTACACTGTGCTTCTTACAACAATGGAAGAGGAGACCTGAGAGGACTTGGAAATCAGACAGATGCTGATCAGCGCTATACTGAACATCAGTCAGGTTTCTGAACCAATAAAAATGTGTGTGATCCCTAGCAGTCAGAAATGAGTGGTTTTCAGAAATGAGTTGGCTGGGACACTCTTACCAGTATGGATATGGTGATAGAATTACTCTGGGGAAAGATACACAGTAAACTAGAGACTGTATCATGCAGTGTTCTCTGTATGAAAGACTGCTGTCATTTCCTGCAGGAATGACACACGTTGTCACCTTTGCTGATGGACTATCAATGGGACACACACACACACACACACACACACACACACACACACAAAGGCACATATACAGTGACGTGCTCTACAGAAAACAGGGATAGTCTCTGGAACTCCCTTAAAATGACTACTATTTGTAAAGAAGCAGTCCCGAACTTCAGTAGAGGGCTCACGAGGAATTACAGAGGCGACGGCTCATGAAGAAAGCACTGCCACACTGCTGTGCACCGCCTTTGAACACACACCAGCTCCAGCTTTCTGTACATTACACCTGAGATACTCATCAGGAACACCCTGTGTCTTCTCTGCTCTCTACTCACTGAATTTTAAAGCTGATTTTTTTTATTACTTCTTGTATTCCTTTTAATTTTGTTTCAAATTCATGTCCATGGAGCCAGAGGAAGCCTGCTTTATTTACAAAGGGAGGTTCCGCACAGGGAAGGAATGAAAATAGCCAGTCACCATGGTCCTTACAAAGCTGTGTGCTCATTTCTTACTTTCAGAAGAACATACTTGTAAATCGTGACCATCAGTCGCTGAAACAAGCACATTCAGCTGGAGTCCTGCTCTGCCCTGTGATGTTTCCTCAACTGGAAGTGCATTTTTTTTTTTTGGTTCTAATCCCAGACTCTGAATCACAGTCAAGTAGGGTGGGTTTTTCATAAATATGCACTGGGCTGCCTGACTCAGTATTAATGTAGGGCAGGGCTCTGATTAGCAAACACTACCTGCAGGCGGCAGAGGAAATACCACAGATGGAGATAAAATGCTATTAGCAGATTTTACTTTATTTTTTTTTCTTGAGGCTTGGGAATAATTACTTAGCTCTGAGGTGAAATGTTTCCAGATCTCTCCCTTCAAAAATATGAAAGCAGTTTCACGTAAAAGACCTCCATATAAAGCCCTCTTACATCCGGTGCTGGAGAAAGAGCACAAGATGAGGAAGATTGCCTCTAATTTAATATATTCCTTTCTCATCATTTAAGCGGTTCACCAGAATCTATTTAGTAACATACATTCTAACTTAAGAGATGACCTGGCTGGCTTAGCTCAGTGGATTGAGTGCGGGCTGCGAACCAAAGTGTCGCAGGTTTGATTCCCAGTTAGGGCACATGCCTGGGTTGCAGGCCATGACCCCCAGTAACCGCACATTGACGTTTCTCTCTCTCTCTCTTTCTCCCTCCCTTCCCGCTCTAAAAAATAAATAAATAAAATCTTAAAAAAGATATAATTGACACATTTAAAAAAAGAGATGAAATCAATAATAAAATATAAAATAACGTACTTCTTATAGCTTGTATACAAAATAAAAGGTAACGAGGTTACAATGATCTTTGGGATATGGGGAAAATCAAAATTGAATACATTTGTAAATTCTATACAAGGGTCGCTCTCCTCTTTTCAGTTAAAACTACAGCACCCAACTTCCTGCAGGTTTCACTAAGTGCAAAAACCCAAAACAAAAACTCCTTTTTGCACCACCTGGCCCAGTAGTTGATTTTACTGCAATGCCAGAACTTTGTCAGGCTTCAGAGCACGCACTAGGCAGATGTACCAGACCCACTGGCAGGCCAGCCCAAGACGCACACAAGTACCAAAGGCAGGAGACCCGCGGCCGGGCACTTGGCCTCGGAGCCTGTTGCTTGTGGGCCAGGCCAGAGAGCAAGTAGGACTCTGGCCGACAGGGCTGCTGACGGTGCAAGGAACCCAGAATTGCACTCTGGGTGGGGAACTCGCGGTCCCTTTCCACTATAGGGGCTAGAACTTACGCTTGGCATTCCAGCCCTTTTCGCCCCTCGCATGCCCACTCAGACCCAACCCTACTCTGCAGAGTACAGCCGATTTTATTGTTTTTAAAAGCCAGAGGGTACGGGAGGGGCTATTCAAGGATGCTGGAACCAGGGCACCCATTCTCCTCTGGTCAAGGATTGAGAGAGTCAGAACGCCGTTAAGGAAGGACGGGATGAGCTGAAGCCCGGGACAGAGCGACAACCGGGCGAGAAGGAGGCTGAAAGCTGAAAACCGTCCCCCCGCAGGGATGGTATGGTCCGAATGGGGGCGGGGCGAAGGAGGTGCACCCGGCTGCCTCCCAGCCCCTTTCCAGCGCTGCTAGCCGGCGCCGGCGCGGAAGCGAATGAACACGCGCCCCGGCGACCCCTCCCTGGCGCCGGAGCCCCAGCTCCGCCCCTCGCCGAGCCGCCCCCTCCGAGTCTGCGGGGAGAGCTCGCCCAGCTCTGCGGACGCTGCCACCTTCGTTGGCTCTTCCTCCTGTCGCCCGCCTGCGGGGGCTGCGCCCCGCGGCCTTGCTGCCCTGGGTGGGCGGCCGGGTTCGCGCCGCAGCTAAGCGCTCGGTGCGGCGCAGCCAGGTCTCCCGCCTGCGCGGAGTAGTGACAGGTGCAGAGTCTGGACTGAAGATCCACCTGCAGCCTTCGCCGCGATGTCCACCATGCGGAGGACCGTGTCGGAGATCCGCTCCCGTGCGGAAGGTGAGTGGCCACCGCAGCGGGGAATTGAGTACAAAGCGCAGGGGGAGCGGCTCTGGGCCAGCCCGGGGTCTGGTGTGTGTGCGTGAGTGCGCGCGCTCTCCTGCGGGGGGTGGGGGGGCGGGGGGAGAGAGGTCTGTCCGACCTCTTGCCCCAGGCTGTCGCCCCTAGCGGACCTTTCTTTCTGCGGCACCTCCAGTGCACTCGCAGACCCCTTCCCAGCTCCAGAGACCCAAAGGTTGCTTCACACCGCAGCGCGATCGTTGGGTCGCTGTCAACCAGCATTTTTGCCCAACCCACCTCCCTCCCACTAGCGCACGAACCTCCGCGTCCCCATTCGGCGTCCCCACCCTAGTGAACAGATTCCCAGCCCGCCGCCCACCTTTTGCACCCCACACATCACGACTCCCCGAGAAGCAGGTTTGTTTTCCCAGGCTGCAGGATCCTTTGATCTACAGCCCCTTGCTTCCCAGAGCGCGAGGGACCTTAATTGAGGTTGGGTGCTCAGCGAGTACTGTACGTTATGGTCTCTGCAATTCTGCCTCCTGCAGCGGAGTCTCACCCAGCTCCTTAAGAGGTTTCGTTTTTGTTTTTCCTTTTTGCTGAAACCCGCATTGTGGCTAGCTGAGCTGACTTTTTAGCAAGGTGGAAGCTCTTTTCTTTGCTCCACCCAGGGCCAGCTGTTGAATGAATACACTTGTCAGCCAGGAGCAACAGATGCCCAAGGGCACGTGAGTTTTGGAGGCCAAGACACTCTCCATCTTGTCTAAGGAGCCCTCAGCATCCTGCCTAGCATGTGGCAGTTACTCCGTAAATATTCCTTGGTTTTCCTCATGGCAAAGCCAAGATTATACTTATCTCAAGTTTTGTTTTCTTTTGTTTTTCTCTCCCATAAACCCATACTTGGATCTGGCAAAGGGTGGAATAATATGTTTTTGAGAACTGGTCTATATTGCCATCATCACCGATTCCCACCCTCACCCACACCCCACCCTTTAATGTGGGGCAGGGGGTAAAGTGGTTTCAGGGAAATAAATAAATAAATTAATTAATTAATTAAGTTAGGAGAATAGGATTCAGGGGTTTGAGACTAGCCATTGTATTATTTTTTCTCCTCACACTCCCCCTGTTAAAAGAGGGGGGCTCTGTGCTCTAATATCTACATGCTTTGGAAATACTAATTGAAACTGCTCTGGGGAGAAGGCCACACAAGAGTCAAAATTGACCTGTGCCCTGCATAGGAATTTAGTACGTATTATTTGTAATGTAGTGAAAACACATACAGGGCATTTTAGTTTTAGATGCACAGTGGAATGGATGATAGTGTGATAAAAATGTACAAAGTAAAAATATATTCATTCTTTTTTCATATACTTCTGAGTGAAATGAGTGAATTTTCCTAATCACCGTTTGAGTGAGCCATACAGGTAATGAAAAATATAGTGGTGACAGTTGGGATTGTTCTTACAAATAGTAACAACTGATGAATCATATATTGTGGGAAATAAGGCTGAGAGAAAAGAGCAGAAAACAATGCCAAACCTGTGGATTTTATTACTAGTGAAGGGCTACAGTATTGTTTTTAATTCACGTATGTATTCTGCACAGCATTTTCATAAAGATTACCTTATAGGACCTTACAACACTCCTGGAGGCTGGTGAAGGTGATCTTATCTGACAGTTGAGGAAACTGTGGCCCAGGTGGTTTAGGTACCTGCCCAAGGTCAAGTAGCTAGTGCAGTGACCCATTTGGATGAAGAGCTCTGGGAAAACAAGGACCACTTCTTACTTAATCTCTGTGCCTTCTGTGCATCCAGCACAGTGTCAGGGGCACAGTGGCACTTGGTGAATGATCTTTCCCTGCCATATTGGTTGGTTTCTGTTTATTATGTGCTCAGCCTTTTGCTCCAGTCTGTGGTGAGGACAACATAAATAATGACTCTGTGGGCTGGCGATGTGGCTCATTGCCTGCTCTGCCCACACTTTTGTTTCCTGAGGAACAGTCTCCTGATGGCTCCCACTGACTAAAGAGCCTTGTTCCCTGCCGAAACCCCTTGGCCTGAGATGATTGGAGCAGGGTGGGCTTCCGGCCCAAGGTAGACGATCCGTAGGTGGTTCAGACACTTGTAACCTTGTGGTTTGTCTCAAAAACATTCTTTGTGGTGATTATCTCTCATATGAGATGAGTTAAGTTTAGAGACTTAGAGTGAAAACTGAAGCAGAAAAGGACAGAGGTGTACAGGCTGGGACAGAAGAGAGTGGCCAGCTATAATAGGTATGCAAATGCTGCAGATGAGGAAGCAGAAACTGTGAGTAAACAGAAAGACAGGAGAGAGAAAGCCCTGGATGGAGAGAGTGGGGCAGAGAGACACAGGTGTCAAGAGGGTGGCCAGCCCCTGGAGCCTCCCTCGCACCCTCCCTGAGTTTTCTAGTCTTAGTTCCCAAATAACACTAGGACTGGCTCCTTTTTCCTTGAAGTAACTCAAACGGGTTTCTGTTCTCTGCATCCAGATTGGCCAGATGCATGACTGTCCGGTGCAACTTATTTTACAACCAAATTGGGGAGAAAAGACTTACCTGAAATAAGGAATAAACAGTCCACAAGGGGATGTTATTCATTGAATATTGTGCTTGCTGTGGGTGACAGGTCCTGCAGAAAGTCAGGGCATAAGAGCGTGAGGCCTGCTGAGAGCACACTTCACTGAGGAGTGCCTTGAGATGAGTGTTCACGCAGTGCTTCTCAAACTTTAAGGTGCACAGGAATCACTGGAGATCTGGTTAGATCAGTGGGTATGCTGTGAGGCTGGAGTTGCTGCATTTCTGACAAGCTCACAGGTGATACTAATGCTGGCCTACAGATCACGGTTTGAGTAGCAAGGTTCTAAAGGACATTGCCATCTTTTTTAATGGTCAGGATGATGTTTAAGATAGAATAACCCATTGAAAAAATAGTGAAAGGGAGTATGGCGTTTTTTAGAGTTCTTAGGGGAGCTGGCCAAGAGCAGGGGGAAACTTGGAAGGAGCAGGATGTACATTTGGATAGGTGAGGCACTGCTGGATTACAGAGCAGTTTGGATGCCAAAATGAGTCATTTGGATATAGCATCGACTCTTTGAAGAGGATCTTAGAGCTTGTCTGATCCACTTTCTCATTCAAGCATGATGCCAGTGTATAATATCTCTATTTGGGCCAGTTAGGAGCCAAATCATTACAGGGAAGTGACCCCCCACCCCCAAAAGAAGTGTTTTTAGAAAGATTAAGTCTGGAAGTATGTTAGATGGTTTGGAGAGAATGACAGTATAAGTAGATTCTATTGTTTTAAAAAAATCCAAAAATGATGAAGTCCAGGATTAGCATTGGAATGGAACAGTGAGAATGGGAAGGGAGAACATCAGAGATATTTCTGAGAAAATCTTTAGCTCATTCAACAATTATCTACTGAACCCTTACCAGGGCAGCTCCAGTAAGTAGAGTGCAAAAAGCCTGGCCCTGGAGGTGCTTAGGAGAGAGGCAAAGGAAACACAATACAGTATAGAACCTATGTGGTAAGGGCCGTGGGAAATACAAAGAGCAGGTAAGATGCTTCAGCTTGGTGGATGGGTTGCAGCTTTATGTAGGCTGATTAGGCTAGCCCTCATTGGTAAGCTGGAGGAGGGGAAGGAGTTAACCTGGAGGAGACCTGGGGGAAGGGTGTTCCAGCCAAGAGGAACAGACTCAGCAAAGGCCTCCAGGCAACACAGAGTCAGGAATGTTAAAGGAACTGTGAGAGGGAGAGTGGTGGGACATGAGGTCACAAAGGCCACATCATGGGACACCAAGATACAGTGAATATAAGGGCAGGAGACAAATGAATTAAAATAACAGGAGATTCTCAAGCAAGCTCCCAGGTATCTCATTAGAAAGGAGATTCTCAAGCAAGCTCCCAGGTATCTCATTAGAACTTCAATTTCCAGGGCTAGGTCAGGAAGATCCTGTTTGGTAGATTTTTTTCTTTTTTTTTGTTTTAGGAACCCTACAGTCTTAAACCTGATTGATTGAGAAAATCTATTTAAAGATAAGGAAATTGAGGAGGGTCAAAACAATAAAAGAAATAAATTCAAATTTTAAAGTACTTGGGGGACATCCAAATGGACATATTTGAAGCTACTTAGAGATTTGGAGGTTTGATATGGAGGGAAAAAAATCAAACAGAAATCTTGAGTTCAGAGATGATAGTTGAAACCCTGACAGATAAATTGGCCAGGAAGCAAGACCAGGTAAAGCAGAGGGCTAAGAATTTGAGATCTCTTCACTTCCACCCCAGCTAAATCAAATCGGTCTCTGAACACAGCACTGGGAATGCTTGAAACAGGGACTGAAACCGTAGTGGTTTACACAAAGTGGTTGTTCTCACTCCTCTACAACTAGCGTGGACGTAAGCAGTCCGGGCCAGGTGTGCCCACCACATGAAGTTGGGAAAGACACGGCCTCCTGATGGCTTTCCGCTTCACCATCCTGAGTTCGTAACTTCCTGCAGTCTGAGGGCTGGGGTTCCAGGCGTGAAAAAATGGGAGAGTGAGAGACCACACACACAGTACTGCACAAAGACTGAGTGAGGGCTTGTTTCTCATCGGCTCCAGTATGTAAGGAAAGCGGGAAAGTGGAGTTTTCTCGCTGGACACACTACTCGGTGTTTTATTACAAAAGGCAAAGGGAAGGATGGTTACTGGTGGGCAGCTCACAGGCACAGCTGCTGTCAGACACTCAGACTGCCAGAGGCTTTGGCTGGAATCCAAGAAGTGTTCAGGAGCTCATAATTTACAAAGTAATAAGCATCAAACTGTTCAAAACTAAGGAAATACACCCCAAACACAGACCTGTTCAATATTTGTTTTCTTCGGATGAATATTATAATGCTAAGTTATTATAACAGGCACTCATTTGATTATGTAAAACATGGGCTAAGTAATAAATGCAGGAGTTCTTTTAGGGATCATTCTCTAATCTGGTCTGTATAAATGGCA